GAGGATTCCGTCTCCCGTGATGCTGCATAATACATGATCCTGCATTATGCTCAAAGAGTGGGACTTTGTTATGCGGCAGTAGTGCCGCTGGCCACTAACAGCTGTTAGCGGCGCAGTAATGCGAGGAGAGGGATGAGGTGTGTGAGGTTGAGCCACTTGTCAGTTGTCAAAGGACAAGACGTGATTGGTTTGTTTCAATTTACATCCGCCCCAACAGTCCTACGTTGTAAACACAGCCAGCATGGTGAGGAGGGGGTTTGTCAACTCGCGTCGCATGTGTCTGTGTAGGAGCCTGAATGAATACTCCATGTAGTATTGGATGACATGGTTTCATCAGTGTTATCATAGCTTTTTGGTACACAGCGGCTACAGTTGTTGCAAAACGTGTTTGAAACAGTGAGGCGCTAGAGTGCGCCATCTGTTTGAATACAATATATGATTTCAACATTAGATGGGAGAAATTCCTACACACTGTGGCTTTAAGTGCTTACTGTCTGTTTGCTCTGGAGAGGAAGAGACCTCTGCTGATAATTCAGCTCCTGGTAAAAACCTCCTGAACCATGAAAACTAGGGCTGGGCGATATGGCCTACAAAAAAAAATCTCAGATTTTTCACAACAAATCTGATTCACGATTTAAATTGATTTTCTCCCTCTACTTAAAATCAATTTTCAGGAAAATATTTGCGGCCTGGTAGCACGTACCTAGGCTCCAAAACTTTCAGCATGTGAATAAACCCCGGCTTTTCCACTGTAAATATGGGCACCATATCTATTGCAAGATACATCGCGAGTGCATCTGTGATCGCTTTCCACCGGGCCCCTTTCTCATCATATGGCAGTGTTTCCCCTACCATTATATTGCCCCTCCCGAGTGTGAGACAATTATAACCGAGCCTGGCCCGAATCTGCAGCATGGCACCGAACACATAGTCTATGGAGCAAAGCCTGTGTTGCATTCAGGCGTAAATAACAAATTCAAGCACTTGAATGGGGATATTTTCATAGGGAGCAACACCTCTCCCACTCGGCAGCATGCCTCTGTTTGAGGTGCTGCAGTAAATTGGTAGTACTGCTACCTTGGGTAGCAACAGTCTTCAAACACACTTTGCAGCGGGGTACTGTTTGTTCTGTGTCTGACGCCACAAAACTGAACTCGTTCCCTTTCTTGGGAACGAGTTCTTCCCTGCTCGCTGCCATGATGTTTGTGTATCAAGCGCATGGGGGGGGAGGGATGAGCCCACTCTGAACTACAGGAGCCCAGCGGGGAGTGTCGGTGGTGGACTTTAAAGAGAAACTCGATTTTCATTCAAACAAATCGACCTAAACTACAAATTTGAATTAATTGATAAAATCGATTTATCGCACAGCCCTAATGAAAACTGAAGGAATTCTAACCTGGAGAAGTTTCAGCTGGTTGCAATCTATAAGCCTCACCACCAGATGCCACCAAATCCCCCTTTCATCTTACACACTGGACCTTTACATCTGATTGTTACTTGTAAACTAGGGCTGTACCAGACTCAGAATTATGTCAGATTAGATTTGGAGCAGGGACATTCATTGTGACAATGAAACTCAAATAATATAGTAAACAAGCCAATGGTGCTAACAATAAGGGCTGCCCTTTGAAAGCCGGAGATCTGAGGTTTTGGGGGTTTTTTGCTAGTCAGTGTGCTGTGCAGTGTACTTCTGGGGATGTTTTGATCCCCAGATTTTGCTGTGGAGCGAGCGCTCTTGACTGTCATGCTCCTCTTCATTACAGACAGCCGTGGATGTGATGCAGCGATACAGAGGAGGAGAAAGTTTCCACCATAAGGCTCAAAGATAACATTATATCTTCTCTTATCTGTTTGGCATTGGTGAATTTACAGCCTACAGATACTTAATGTAACATAGTCTTCAGCTTTCGTTTGATATCTGGTGTCGGCAAACAATGTTGCACATTTCAGATTCCTCTATTAGTTTGTTTACTAGATTACATGAATGCTACTGTTGCACTGAATGTCCTGCTGAGCTTGGGTCAAAAAGAAAAGAAAAAGAAAAACACATTATTGAATATTTGTATAACGACCAAATCTGATTCGACTGACATAATTCTGTCAGTTACAGCCCTACTTACAACAAATAGGAAGGTTTAACAATTTTTTTTGCCGGCAATAGATATCAAACATAGTCAGATTGTAGCTGTAAAGTCCCCCCTTCTGTGCAGACGGCAGAAGAGAGTGCTGTTTTGGAGCCTCTTCTCCTCCAGGCAGCTGCCTTTGGGTATGCAGCTGCCTGTACCAAAGAGCAGCATCAAAATGAAAAGCGCTAACTGTCTGGGGATTAAAATGAATAATGGATTAATTAAAAAAATCATGTTATTCATTATTTACATTTTTTTGTAGCCATATTATTTGTTGTTACCAAATATGGTTAATATTGGCTGCAGAAGAGGTGATGCATTCAGGTGCATGATACCTGGATGCAATATCAAAGTACAGTAGTTTATCTTCTTGTTTTTGTTGCAGGAAGTAACATCACTGTTTCACTTCACGTCTCCATGGAGATAATGATGGACTCCGCTATTCTTAAACAAGTGCAAGCTGCAGCACCTAAACACACCATGCTGCAGTGATAAATCTGAACACCTGACACAATGTGTTAACATGAGAATTACTCTCACGGAAGTGAACTACCACAGCCTATAAAGGGATTTTACATTTTTCAGTGATAGGACATGGGGTCAAAATACTCATAAAGTGCCATAATTCAACGTTGAAGTCAGCAGGCCCATTAACTGAATCCTTACTGATTTATTAAGGGAATATAAAGGTGTTTTAATTGCAAAGGTTTTTAAAAAAGCATACTGGACATGACATAAGTTATAAACCTCATAAAACACACAAAGGTGTAATGTTTGGTAGGCAAAAGGAACAACCATTTCTCCTTGCAGTGGTTTTAATTAGCTTCCACCAAGATGGATGCTAATGACTGTAATTACCAGCAAAAAGGGGGAAAAGGAGCAACAAAGCCAATGAAACACACAGAACAACGTACCTTCAAGAGAGCCCAGCGGATAGAGCCGGTGTGGGAGATGTTCCTGTGTTTGTGTCGCTGAAAGCTTGCCTCTTAACTCGTTTAAAAATGCCCCGTTTTTCCTAAATATAAACAGAGACGACTGAAAAATGCGCGACTAGAGCACAACATGCATGTCTGAGTGAGGGGCGGCGCCAGAGAGCAGTGCACTGACGCCTCTGAAACATTACGATGCCTTCAGGGACTCGACGGAAAGTCGTATTTTTTATGTCTATATGAAACTGGTGGAAGAAGATTTTTACCTATAAGGAGCAACTCCACATGTTAAATATTATGTTACAAGTATGAATCCTGTATTTAAAATCTCGCTTAACCCGTTCAGTATGTAATTATGTTCCAAACACACAAAAACATATTGTATTAGTAAATTTATGCTCTAAATGCACTCAAAAATCCTTCGCAAAAATTGCTTTGGATTAGGATACTTAATTATGTATTTTCTGTCTATACCAGTGGACCATCTAATAGTAATAATGACAATAAATAGTCTTAACAGACCTTTTTTCTAGGGCTGTAGTCTCCTGGTCGACTAGTCGAGTATTCTCATTGGTCGAACAATTGCTGTGTTACTTTCATAAGGCAAAAAGTGCTGCATCAACAGCTTTCCAGAATTAATCCATTATTTCCTGCGGCGGGAGGGAGAGGCTAAATTACCTGTGAAAATGGGGGTGTTTTCAAAACACCCCTGTTAATGACAGAAAGTTGAACTCGCCCACCCTCACCAGCGTTGCGTGACGCAGACCTCCCATCAGTTTCTGTAAGTTGAAACCATTTCCCGCAGGGGAAACACACCTCGTGTTTACTTGTATTTCACAGATAAGAAACAATAAAATGTAAAGACAGTTAAACCTCCACTAAAATAGCAGTTTAAGCCGTGTTAGTGATTTATCCCTTAGGGAGTTATACTTAGGGATTTATCCTGGCTTCATATGAGCAGAAGAAATCTCCGCTCCTTGCTAGGCTAGTATGTAAAATGCCATAGGCTGGCGCTAATAACGTTAGCATGTTGCATTTGCTTGGAAACGTGTTTAGTGTGATGGTTGTTTTGTTGGTGAATGTTGTGAGTTGTAATGGAGCCAAATTATGTACCGTTACCTTTGTTAAATGTTGCTGTTGTCCCTGGTTTTACATGAGAAGAGGAAAAGATCGCTAGACGCTGGGCTAATTTATACAGTGTAAAATGCCATAGGCTTGTGCTAATAACGTTAGCATGTTGTATTGGTGGGGGAAATGTGTCCAGATAAAGACAAGTGTTTGTCTATCAGATCTGCGATTTATAGTGAAGTCAATTAGCGTATTTGTGTTTGAAATTGTCTCTATTAAGCCATATTTAATGTGTTTTGAATCAACTATATAAACAAAGTTTGATTTGAACTAAACTTTACAGCACTTAACACAGTCCTCCACCGCCGACTAGTGTTTTGGAGGTGTCACTGCAGAGTGACACAGACATCACCTCAGAAGTAACTAGAAAAGCACTCTGTTCCTTGTCCCATTATCCACCTTTCCTGAAAATTTCATCAAAATCCGTTCATAACTTTTTGAGTTATTTTGCAGACAAACAGACCAACGCTGGCAAAAACACAATCTCTTTGGCGGAGGTAAAACTAATATGCAGATTTTTTTTCCCATGACTGATCGATTAGTTGAAGATTATGTGCGACTTTAGTCGACCAAGATTTTCTTTGGTTGACAACAGCCCTACTTTTTTCCCAGCATAACACATTAGGGTGATTTATTTTTCATTAATGGTTCATTCAAATCAATGAAGTGATGCTCTAAAACACACTGCCTATGCCTGAACAGGTTAAGTAAAAGTACATAAATATTTGCACCAAAATATACTTCAAGTTTCAAAAGTTAAAGTCCTTATGCAGAATGGCCAATTTTAGAATATATTATGGTACTGCATGATAATTACTGATGAATTAACGTGTGCATCCATAATGTTGCAGCAGATAAAGGTGGAATTGGAGTTAACTACTTTATAGAATTACTGCCGGGTACTTTAATATAAGCTATGACAATATATCATAATTCATTAGTTGATTTATATTTCTGTATTAATAATCTGAATCTGCAAAGTACTATTGCCAAATAATACTTAAGAACAAGTATCTTGAAATTGAAGTTAAGAACAGTACCTGAGTAAATGTACAGTAAATGTACATTCTATCACTGAAAATAAAGGAAGTGATTTGTATGTAATATTATTTTGAAATAAGTATTTCTAAAAGGGGGCTCATTTTTACACCTGGCGCAGTGCTGTATCCCCAAAAATAATTAAAGAAACTGTAAGCACTTACAGTACAAAGTGTTGCGCTAAGAGCAACTCGGACTTTTTAAAGAAATTTGCTTCATTTGTTCCTATTACTTGTGTTTTAAATTCATTGTATTCATCCATGTTTTTTTTTTTTAATAAACACAGATGTCACTGAAACATAGGCTAAAAGAATAATGAACCACAGCCCTTTAACAAAAGTACTGTCATTACAAACTCATGCTAAGCAGCCAAACATACTTTAAACCATAGACTGTGGGCCAGTAGTGTATTTAGCCTATTAGTGGACATACTAACATTTTCAAACATGCCTCAGGCTTTTTTTTTTCTTGGAATAGCTATAGCCATTTATTCTTCTTTTATTGCTTTTGATTTTAGTTGTGTTGGCCCTATTGTAATTGTTCTCTCTCAATGCCTTGCCCAGAAGCTCTAAATAATATAAATAAATTGAAATTAAAGGCTTAACTTTAGGAAAATGTGTATAATATTAGGCACAATAGAGTTTAATGTATATAATATAGGCAAGATCAGACGATAGGGAGTGCTGTTGTACTGAATATCAGCACGGCTGTTATTCGGTGACGAAGATAATCCCAGCCTGACATTCATGCTGATATTCAGTCAGTACAATAGCATGACCTCGAGTGTGATATTGTTTTTAAACAGTCCTACAATCTATAAGTCAACATTGAAAAGGGACAGCAGATAATGATTTGTTTGTTTATTTCATGATGAATTTGGCTCCGCCAGCACAAATAGTTCTCCAACTGGACCAGGACTGGGATGTTGCCAAGCAACACTTTAGCATTCCTGCACACTAGCTTGCTACTTTGTGTATGCTAGGGCCGCATGTTACTGCCTGCCAACTACTTTGTATCACGTATATTTATCTATATGTTTAAATTTATTGTACGACCAGTGAAATAAGAGTCTGTTTATAGGCGCTTTGGGGGTAAAAGTGTGTTGCTATAATACACAGTATGCTAACAGACAGTATGCTGATACATCTTCTGACGTCATATGAGCATACCTGGAGGATTGCAGTGAAGTATCCAGGCTTCTGTCCGTCCCTTCATGCTCTTCTGATGACCAGTCATCATTTAAGTCAGATGTGTTTGTGGCAACATGTTGCTTTTTGTTGACGACCCTTCATGTGGGCCAATTAACGTTAACTTAATTAACGGTTCAGAACAGCTGTAAAGCGGAGGGATACATGCATAGTTAAGACTCCCAGTTCTTTTAAACCAGCACTCGTGAATGCCTCTTGTCCAATCAAATCGCTTGGTTTAATTGTTAATTGTTTATTTCACAATAATATTAAATGTAGTAGTATAAATAAAGTATAAACTATGATAAATTATTAGTGGTTTATATAGGCTTACTGCCAGGTAGTTTAATATAAGGCATAACAATATTAATAATTCAAATTGGTTTACATTTTGGTGTCAAATTTGCAAAGTAATGTTGCCAAATAAAGTGGGCTATAAAGTAGCAAAAAATGGAAAGTAAGTACAAGTATCTAAAAACTATACAGTACTTGAGTAAATATATTTATCCCGCCATTGAAATTAAAGTATGTGAGTTGTATGTAATTATTATTATTTTTATTTTTTTTTCCAAGTTAGTGCTACTTAAAGTCCTTTTTAGCCATTTTAGGCTTCTAGCAGCTGTGGATCTCTCAAAATACAGAAAAAGTAAAAAGAGTTTTTCCGAGGCCACTGTGTCGCCCTGGTTCCCTCATCAAAAAACCTATGGGATTTTTCCACTGGATTTTGGATTATTACAGGAAGTAAGCCCGTGGCAAACAAACCTTTATGATATACCTACACGTTTTGTTTAGCGAGATAATCTTCACATCAGCACAAAG